TTAAAAATGTGGGGAAGATGAGTTTATATAGAGGAGAAAAGTGGCAAAATGTAGGATTGAATATTGACCATTGGATTGTGTTAGGAATAATGGAAGGTGGAGATTAAAAGTAATTAAGTAAGAAAATTTTCTAAATTCATTTATTTCAAAATTTTAATATAATAGTAATATAATATAATAATAATAAAAAGTTATGTGAGTAACGGTAAAATGTAATTCAAAATTTATTATAAATATAATAATATAATAATAATAAAAATGATGTGAGTAACTACCAAAATTTTAAAATATAATAATATAATAATATAATATAGTAATAATAAAATTCGATGTGAGTAACGGTTATATTCAAATTTATATTTGTAAAAATAATTTTATTTAGAAATGTAATAATAAGAAAAACTCCACCATGTGTTACTCTTTATAAATGTCATACTTTGATATATTTTGATTTGTCCATCATTTTGATTTTGTTGCCACATCATCACGTCGGGTATGTTGTCTCGACTCTAATTTCTTCGTTTTAGCTCTGATTTGAGTAATTGAAAAGTTGTTGTAATCGTTATTCCCGACCTTATACTGTGGACAGTTCAAAAAAACTGAAAATAGTTAATAATTAAAAGTAGGTTTGTTATCATCAAAACATCAATAATTAATTCATTGAAATTAATTAATGTGAGATCAAGGGCCAATAAGCCAACATATCAAACATAGACAAATACTCGGAAGTAGCTAATCGTAGGTTTCATAATAGCGTCTCAAATTGTGCAATGAAACCTAACCTAGGGTGAGGAAACTTATTGATCAAATGAGAATCAATTTGCATTACTTCAGCCTGAAATTTTTCTGGAGCATTCTTTGCATTTAGCATGCTTCAAAACATCTTTACAAGATGTCGATTATTTGTCTCAGTTACACCATTTTATTGTGGCGTGTTGGCACATGTAAATCGATTAGACTCATCTAACGTATATTCTCCCTCATTGTATGGGTGTATGCAACGAATCTTCATTTTTACTTCTACTTATCTTGAATTCTTGAAATTTTGAGAATGTATCGTACTTTTTGAAAAAAAAAAATCCATAAATATCTCGAGTAGTCATCAATAAATGTCATAATGTACCATATTTCGCTTATTGATGTTAGTTTGACTAGACCCACCAAATCAAAGTAAATTTACTCTAATAGTTTCTGTATTTTCAACATTGACTCTTTGTATGTAATTGATGAGATTTATCATACTAACCTCCGACACAAACAGTATCTATTTTGATCTTAAGTTGAGATATCATCATGAATTTCTTCCTAATCACCTTCAACTTGTGGTGGCCAACCTGTTTAAACCTTGCGTGTCATATATTTGTTGTGCAAATTCCGCATATAACACATAAATGGACACCATTTTTCTCTCTTTCATCATTGGCTCTCCAACATCTTAAAATCTTCATAGACTTTCAATCTTCTAACATGATCATCATGTTGTTGATCTAAGCAATTGCCAACCCTGAGTTGTTGGTTGTGCGTACTACAAGACTTCCTTTGTACTGTTTCATGTCTTGCAGTTTCCTCTTATCGCCCGTCGTTGTTTTAGCATATTAAATCAATGATCTAGTCATTCTCGTAATCGATATACTCTCTCATCATCATCATGAGTGCTTGCTTGTGTTCTTCTAAAGCACATAGTACCTATGTATTCCATTTGTCGTATTAGAACATTTCTTAGACCAACAATCATTTTAGACATATGACCCTTCTATCTGTAGCAAATGTCTTCAAATTTTTTTCTTTGGGAACTCTTGTTGTCGTTCTTTTAAGTTCTCTAAAGTTGTGCAGTTACTTGGCAACTTCTTCCTGGTGGGCAACTTATTGTTGCTCCGACTTTACTTGTGAGAGCATTTCTTCTTCACACTTCGGTGTGATACCTCTCATTTACTTAGCCATAGTTTCCTGTCTAGCTAGCAAATTTTCAAACTCTACCAGTAATTGTTGAGTGAGACATTATTATACAACAACAATAAAATTTTTATATTCTAGTTGCAATCCATGGATGATAATACTCTTCATTCGAGCTTCTTTGATAACAAACTTTGAATTTAGTTCAGTAATCTCCTGACAAATTGACTTGATCGTCATGTCACATTGTGGGATTGATAACAGCCGTTGCAATCTTGTATAGTTCTTATTTGAGAAAAGCGTCAGAAACATATCTCATGCTTCTTTTAGTTTCTTGTCATCCCGAATGTGCTCCAACATCTCTTCTTCAACTATAGTCTTCAATGCGATCATTGCTTTACATGCTTTGATCCTCCATTTGTGCAAGGCGCCATTAGGATTCTACTCTGGCGACGTAGTTTCGCTTTCACCAACGACCTCTCAAAGGTCTTGTCCTCGTAGATAGGAAATCATTCATAACTGTTGTAGTTGGGTTTCTTGATTCTTCCAACGACTTCGAGATCACCCATCGTGCTAGCATTACCTCAATAATACTAAACAAACTAATTTTCAATACAAAATTTGTAGAGTCCCGAACTACTCACAACATGAAGAAACACATTCACTAATAATCTCAAAATATAATTTCTAAAAATATAATTTATAACTGGAAAGATCAAGGAGACCCATCACAATATTAGATTGTCATAAATGTTAAACTAAAAAAACAATAATAAAGATCAAAATCAAAGGGTAAATCAAACTTTTTTCATTTTAACTTCATTTTACGTGCAAAATTAACAAACCTTAACCTATACCTAAACTATGATACAAGTACAAATGGACCAATCTTGTAAATATCTTTGGTCACAATATTGTAGCATAATTTTACTAAAAAAATTAAAGGGAAAAACATTATATAGTCCAAACCTACTTTCATAAGTTTAGGTATCGAACAATAAATGGATGTGGTTAAATAATTAATTTGATGAAAATCACAGTTCAAATTTTCAAATTTCTTTTTAAAAAAAACAATTAAACAGGACCAGGTCTAGATTAAATAGATACAATTATTAAAATACTTTAACTCAAATTTGACTTCCAACCTAGGAACTTTCTTATCAACACCCAACAATTACCTGTTAAAAACAACTAAAAGACCTGAATTCTATTTCGTACACATCTTAAGGCCAGCATATCAAGAAAAATCAATTCATGAAATTTTTAAACCATTTCTACAGATACAATATCATAGCAAGAAGCTTATTAAATTCCAAAGGTCAATAATGGAGTCTACAGTCATCAGCTAAGAAGAACATGTGTATTCAAGAAAAGACCAATCTGATCAAGGAGTAAAGAACCACGCAGGCTTGCTTCCATATCAAACAATGGCACTTAAAGATCAGAAACTGAAAACTCTACCAACTAACCAGCTTACTAAACACACTCACACAGAGACTGATTTAGAAGTTACCCTTTCGTTCTTCAAGAGTGACAACATTCAGCTGCAGCTAAGACGAAGAAACGCGCAAAACATTTTAATTCTAGATGAACAGAAAAGTTACGAATACTAGCATAAGCATAGGAGAAATTACGACCTTTCATCAACATATCTATGCCCTAGGTTTTACACAATTGTGTCCTTGAATTCTAAAAAAACATAGAGGAGACAGTTCGTTTTCGGAAACTGGGTCGGCATGATTTGCAGATATGGAGGAACAAAGGAGAAGAAGCTACTACTCGTAGGATTGAAATTTTAATTCATGGTTGGACCCAACTTGAAAAGTTAACAAAATGAAGCAAATCATGCAATATAAGTATCAATTTCTCATTATCAATCATGGAAAGATTCAGGACCAGTTTGGAATGACCTTATAATTGCTTAAAATACTTTTTTAAGCACTAAAAAAGTCATCCCGATCGACCTTAATCGCTACTATGTAAGGGATTAAGATTTCTCAAGGAAGAAGAATAGACCCAAGCTGAGAAATGTCACCAAAATCATGGAGAGACAATATGAATGATAGTCGTGCAAAACTACATGGTAGATTTTAGATCAATGATAAACAAATGTGTTCAACTGAGACAAGAAAAATCTTCGTGAGGAAATTTTCATGTACAACAGTATCCTTTAGATCTAAAGAGAATGAAATTATCATACGGAAGCAGCCTAGCCTCTCATATACATTCAAACAAAACAGAATAAAGAACAAAAGGCCAGACCCAAATTATGGAACTCTTAGACCCACTTACCTCAGTTGGGCAAACCCACAGATTTGAGTAACAGGAAGGATGAAAAAGAAAAAGGCAAGCAATGCGAGGGTCTTTCAAGAGAAAATATGAACATTGAAAACATCACAAAACTAATGCTCAGATATCCAGAGATCCCAAAGATTTAAATGATGCAGAACTAGAATGTTTTTTCAGCATATTATTGAAGCATTTGAATGAAAGTTCTACCTGAAAAAAGAATGCACAGACAGGTACAAGCTATAGAAATTGCAAAAGAAAACAAGCTCTTGATAATCTGCCCCCAAGCAATCTAGGGAAGCCTGTGAAACATTATAACTGATCAACTAATAAGAATTGTTCATATGAGCAGTAAAATTCCAGACTATATCACAAAAGGCTTTAATAACAAAACCTTGTAATAATAAGATTCAATTCAACCTACTTTACTTTACTTTCATGTTACATAATGAAATTACAGAGTCAGATGACTAACATTAGAACCTGCTCTTGCAACGGACCATAGAGATTATTACACAAGGGGGAACAACAGCATAGACAATTTGGATTTCCAATGTGGTCAATGAATCGTAACCTCGTTTCTTCTTCCTAGAAGTAAAAACAGTATACCTCCAACAAAGGTCCGAATCATTGCAGGCGAGGAAAACTATTCCAGCTTCGAAGATTAAATAAATTATCGTGATCGTGTCTATCTCTGCAGCCACAAAAATCAAAAACATGTGGGAAAACGAAAAATCTCAGGTTTGTCAAGTTTGACAAACGAAATGAAATAAATGAGGAAATATTAATGCACCGTCGTGTTCAGAATTCAATCGGAGCAAGAAGAAAGTCTTTGAAGTACCTTGGCTGGAGAATCCGAGAGACGATAGGCGTCCGCAGTGACTCCGACCAACCACAGTCCAGGAAACACAGTCTGAGAGACGATCGAGAAATTAAGAATCGAAAAAGAGAATAATGAAACCACTTCAGTATCACCAAGCAGAGAAGAAATGGTAAGAAAATTTCAGGAAAAATCGTACATCGAGTTGCTTCTGAACATTCTTAGGTCTCTTCTTCGGCCGCCGAGAAGGTCTAGATCCAGTCATGATGAATATATCTTCCTCAATCTCATCCCTCGACAGAGCGATCCAGAACTTTCTTTTCTCCTTCTTCTCTATCCTATGCGACTCTGTAAATCCCCGCAACCGGAGCGATTTCGGCTGCGGATTCTCCCCTTGCTGAGACGCACCAGCAGCGGATGAAACTGCCCCGTCCGGTTCTTGAAAGTCTCCTCCATTCTTCAAATCACCAAAGCCTCTCAACGACGGCCCCTTCCGCGGCCTGAGATTCCAAGGCTTCTGCACTATTTCCTCCCCCTCGGCCTCCTCCCCTTCCTGCTTCTGCTCCTTAACAACTTCATCTCCAACCTCACCTTCAGAATGCTTCGCAAATTTATCTCCCAGTGAACATGGCGAAAACGCCAATCTGTTCCGAGCGGTGCGCGATCCACCTCGAAGTTGAAGCTTAGAGTCAGCTTCAGACTCTGGTTCGGAATGATCGACGGCATGCGATGAGTCACCGCCGCCGCTGCCGATTGCCCGACGAATGCGGTGATTGCTGTTGGTCTGGTTCTTCCCACCCCATTTCAGAAAAGGCAGAGCGAAGTTGTGCAAAGGCTGAGACTTAACCGGTCCAGTAGCCATAGGAAATCCACAACTTCCACAATCTCCACCTACAAAACGTCGTAAGACAAAGAATGCTTCTTCTTGGAAACCACCTTCACAATCTGTATCTACAAAACGTTCTAAAACAAACTTCGCGGCTTGTCGAGATCAATGAGCCCTGAAAAGAAATGGTCCCCGGAGATCGGCAGAGCCGCCGCGACCGGAGGAGACGAAGAAAGAAGAAGAGAAAAGAGAGAGACCAAGTTTCTTTTGGGGTGAAATTTGTAGTGGGCTTCGTGCTCGCCTAACTTAAACGAGGAACGCAGAGTCGCAGCTAAGTTCGTTCTGCGTCCACAGTTTTACGCCATGCGTATTTACGATTTTACCCCTCCAGTTTTTGTATTGATAGATAAAGGTGCCTCTGTAATTTATTCTATTACATGCCACGATGATCACGCCCTTTTCAGTAATTTAATCGCTTTTATTAATTTTTTTCTTTTTTCTTTTTTACTTTCATCTTTTTTTCATTGTTTGCTTGCTTTATAAGATAAATGAATAATTTACAGTGAATTTTAATAGAATTTAAAGTGACTAGATTATTTTATACATTTTAAAAAATATTTTTTTAAAATAAAATTTTCCTTATTTATTCTTTAAAAAAGTAATAATTTAAAGTAAGTTTAACATGACGTTTTAAATCTTAATAAATTAAAATTACTAATATTAATTTAATTTAAAATTTGTTTAAAATAAACTCTAAAAAGATATATATATTATTTCAAAATCACTTCAAGTGATTAATGGAAAACTCTTAAAGTATATAATAAAAAAGAAAACATATTTGTAATTAATATAAATTTTTTTTTTAAATAAAAAAAACATACCATAGAATAACATTTTTATTGAAAATATTTAAAACAATTGTTGAACCTAAGCTTTCCAATTTTGAAATTACAATGACAAATTAGGTTTGTAGTAAATTTTGTTGACTAAATTACTATTTGGACCAAAAATGTTTTAAATACCTTTTAATTTTTTTTAATTTTATATCAAAATTATATCTCTAAATTAAAAAAAGTATATATAATAGCAATAATTTCAGTATTGTGTAATAAGTTAACTCAATAATTTTAAGGGTATTTATTTAATTTAACCTATGCTAAACAACCACCAAATCTGTAAGGATTAAAATTAAATGAATTAAGTTTATACTAGTCAATAATTAATTAAAATTTTAGAGTTTTAGTAGTAAAATCATAAAAATTAATAAGTAATAAAAGGATATTAAATAAAACTTATATCAATATATATATTAAATAATTAATATTCACTAAACTAATCTATATATAATCTATATATCTATCCAAGTTCAAGCCAAATTTTGATTTGATGAGTCAAATTCTATGTTTGACCCCTTGATTTGGCTATATAAGGTTGAATCACCACGATCTAGCCTCAGATAGTGTCTTAGGTTCGTTGGACTCGGACCTCAATCGAGCTTGAATTTTTACTTATAGGGTTAGGTTGTTCAGATGGCGAGGATAAATTAGGTAGAAAAGAAAAAAAAAATTACCAAAGATTATAAATGGGTAGCTAAAGCCTATAATTATTTTTTAAGAGTACGTACGAAAAAATAATAATAATAATAATAAAAAAGAAGGGATAAGATAAAAGTGCAAAACAACCTAGAGGGAAAAAAATAATTTAGAATTTAGAATATGTTAATAAATTAATAATTAAAATATACATTAATTTTTCTTTTATTAAATTGAGAACGAAAAAATACAAAATATAAATATAAAATATTATAAAAATTATATGATAATTTTTTTCAAAACATGTTTTAAATTTAAAATTTTAAATATATTGAGTAAATATTCCAAGGTGAGTCGATTAAAAATAATTTTAAAAATTATGAATCTTCCCACGATGATTATTATTATTATTATTATTTATTGGAGAATATATGCATTGAAGGGGTGAATGGATAGGAAAATAAGAGAGTATATTTGTGAATTTCGTTAAAATCAAAGACTTTGAACAATCAAACAAATGAAGAATCTTTAAAAGCGGTATTGTTGAATTTGGGGGTATATTTGTAAATTTCAAATTACATCAGGGGTAAATAAGTCCAAACGAAACTATTCACATTGTTTACAAAAATTCTAGACACGTGTCTATGAACTGAGATGCAATAGAAGTCACAATTAATTTTCAAAAATGGGAAAAATCTTGAAAATAATAACTACCTTAATTTGGCATTAATATGAGCTTCACCAATAAAAACAGCTATTTATTTATATGAGGTGTATTTTTTAAAAAATGTTAAATTGATAGTTATAGTAATTTAAATGGCGAGGAAGATGGGGAACTAGAACACTTGGAGCGTGTCGAGGAAAAAGATGAATCGCTCCTGAGAAGGAATCTATTGATTCTCTTATAATTAATTGGACCGTACATGCGATGATTTACGTTACGTGTAAGAATAAAAGAATCATCTGAACCCTTCATGAAATCAGTGGGTCCATGCCGGTAAGACTGAATATACCTTAGATAGGTCAATCCCTCCCCTATGACACCAAAAAAAAATTGGGTTGAACTTCTACTCACTCGCTTTCATAGAACAATATTATGGCAATGTAAAACTAAGTGGTCATATAGATCATTGGGAATCATTACAAGTACGTCTGACCTATATTTGAACAGGAATGTCCGGTGAAGCCTAGAAGAAGGTGACTCGCGCAAACAACTAACTCATTTTCAAGGTCAAACCAACCCAGTTGGATGGTCAATCTCAAATATCTTATCGATCGACAAATTGGAGACGAACGACCACGGTTTTGACCTTACCAACACCGGAGGTTTACTAATTAATGAACCCTTCAACCCTATTTTCTTTTCTGATAAAATCAACAAAGCCTAACCAAACACGACATGTCATTGATATTGACTTAGTTGGAGTTTCATTAACTGAATCAAATTACTATTCTTTATAATTTCATTTTAAAATCGTTAGATTTACATGCAAGAATCAGTGTAAATAAACTTACTGTTAGACTCTACACGCCATGTAAAGATATATGATGTTATATATTTATAGTATGAAGCATGTTATGAATTATGACTACGAGATTCTAGCTTATTTGCAATACTGGTTTTATATGTATGTGATTCACGTCATGATATGGTGATATGACATTAAATCACAATACTAAGAATGTTAGTCATAGTCAGAATGATAGTATATCACGAATTGTATTATACATTCTTATTTTATGATACCTCAAGCATATAATGTTTACGAGCCATGATCCAGAGGATGTTAAGATGGGGCAATATGTCCCCTCGTATTTTTGTTACGATTGGGTCAGTCTAATAAATTTTAATTTTTCTTAATTAATAAATTTTAATACATTAGAGATAAAATTAAAAATTTTAAAATATTAAAGACAATTATTAGGTATTTAACTTAAAAAAGCGATATTGCCATTAATTTGAATCTAACTCATCTCATTAAACAATAAAAGCTTGAATTCAATAATAATAATAATAAAAAAAAATTATAATAAATATACTAATTTTTTTAAAAGATAAGATATTTCAATTTCACCGGGACGAGGACATATCCTTGCCTCGGTCCCCATCAATCCTAGATTTGTCCCTGCCCAAAAATATAAATGTTAAAACATCTATATATATATATATATATATATATATATATATATATATATATATATATATATATATATATATATATTTTATAAAAACTTTATTAAGAATATGAACGAGTCGAGTTTAGGATTGAAGTGAGGGATGGGGTAGAAATACCATCTCATCCCCGATCGGACACCTAAAATAAATTTTCAATTTGATTTCAACGCTCAAATAAATCGAAGATCTTTCGACTCGATCTCGGGGTATTTTTGTCATTTCAAATCTTATAAAGAAATGATATTAGAATATGATTGATAATTAATTAATTATTATGTGACTTTTCCTTTCACACAAAGGCAGAAAATTCTGAAACTCTGGCATTTCCCTAAAATTCGAGAGAGTGAAATGACCATAATACCCTCATGATGGCTATTTAATTTCGTGAATTACAAAAGGGAGCGTCATGTGCTTGGTAGGAAAAGAGGTCACAACAGCCGACAGGTGACGCGTTGATGCTGATTTTTCCTTTATTTTTTTGTCGTTTAGTGGCATTTACCAAAATTCACTATAATGAGGGTAAATTGGTAATTTTTCCAATATGCTCGCACATTTATTTTAATGTTATTTTTGTGAAAATAAATTTTGGTGCGAGTCTATTTACTTCTAATAATTTAATACGTAAACTTTAATATATAATAATATAATTTCTGTATTTTAAAATTTAGAATAGTTTAGTCTATACCGTAAAATTAATATAAATATTTAATGAAATTTATTGTACTAATAAAGTGACTAAAAATTTAATATGTTTATAGACCAAGAAAATCTAAATCATTAAATAATAGAAATAATTATTTTTTTATTAAAAATTTAAATTGGTGATTAAATTTTTACAAATTGTTACGTACTATTATGAATATATTAATTTTGATTAAAAATTCTTGTAATTATACTATTTAATTATAAGTTTTAATTATGTTTTAAAATTTTTAAAATTTATCATCCTTAAACCCCTTGAGAGTTTTTTTTCTTTTTTTTTTTTTAAATTTATTATTTGAGTGAAAATGTTTTACCACGCTATTTCATTTTATACTAATGTTTTAAAATTCAAGTTAAGTTTTGAATAAAAGAAAAAAAATTAAAAACTTATTTCTATTTTTTTTAATTAATATGAATTTAGACGTTTAATATGATTTTTTTTTTTTTTTTTTGTAAATAAATAGTGAGAAAACAAACCCAATTTTTATAAACTCAAAAAATAAAAAAGAACTAAGATATTTTTGTTCGCGTAGTAATATGATCGGTGAAATTACATGGTTGATTTTTTAATTTTGATAATTATTCAATAAATTAATTTTTATGAGTAATTTTAGAAAATTAATAATTTAAAGTGTTTTTAGTATAAAATATTCAATGATTTTTTTTAAAAAAAATTAATAACCGAAAAAAGTATTTTATAAAATTGGATTTATTTATAGAAAAGAAAAGACTTTAAAGTAATTGACGGAAAATATTCCAAATATTTATTTGGAAACACATTTGTAATGAAATAAACTCCACAATTAAAAAAAGAAATGTGAGATAATTATTATTAATTATTATTATTATTATTATTATGATTGAGAATGTTTTTTTAATTAATATCATTGGGCCAAGTGCATAAAACGTCGAAGCCCAAAATATGAATTAGTTTGAACCCGGCCCATTTATATTTTGTTGTTCGACAAAAAAAAAGAACATTTATTTTCTCCTCTCCCCCGTTGGAGAAGCTTTTCAATTTTCCTGTATGCGGAACTTGGAAGCTTCAAAACCTTCAAACATCTATAATGGCGTCCTCCATTGACAAGCCCTAGCTTCAACTTCTTCACTATCATTCTTTGTCCTCAACGTTCGGGGATATTGTTTGCTTCTTCTCCCTCTCAATGGACAGGCAAATCGACGGTCACGCCGTTCCTTCGACATATACTAATGGCAGGGCTGCTTCAGCCTCCACTTCTTCGTCTCTGCGACCTGATTACAGTAGTCGAGCAGTACAGGTACTCGTTTCTTTCTACTAGTTGATGCGTTTATGTTATAATGCTTGATAGGGAAACCCTAGCTATTTGGTTAGCATGTGGAGAGTTCATGTTTTTTTGTGCTTTGATTTTTCTTTCCGGAAGCATTTCTCTTCTGGAGTTGCTGCTGTAGAGTGTAGAGCAACTTTTGCTTAAAGTTTTACTAGTTATGTGCTTTAATGGTTGTTGTGGTTGTTATATTATTAAAAATTATTGACTGCCTTTTGAACGTTTGTGTTTGTGGATTTGACTGGTTGATGGCATTGTATTCATTAAAATGATGCTTATCCTGTTAGACGTTGATTTTTAATTAGTCTGTTTATTAGGTGGTAGACTTTTTTTTTTTTNTGATTTTTAATTAGTCTGTTTATTAGGTGGTAGATTTTTTTTTTTTTTTTTCCCGCTCCTAACTGTTTTGATTATATTTTTCAATCTAGGAAGCGCTGAAACATTTGGCATCTATTGATCTGATCGAGTTATGCAATGAAGCAAAAGTTGAGCATTGTCGAGCTACAAGAGACTTGAGAAGCTGTGGACGGGATGTTCAGTTTGTGTCGAATTCATGTGGGCATGCCTCTCTGTGTGAAGAATGTTGCCAACGGTGTGATATTTGTCCAATATGCCGAGTCCCAGTTCCAAAAACCAGTGCTAGAATACGTCTTCGTCTCTTTTATGAGTGTGTTGAAGCTGGTCTCATTCCCAAGAATTCCAAGCAGAATCCTCCTGAGGAAGATGGGGAGAATAGAATAACTACAGATGTTCAACGCTTGTACTCCTTATTTGATATTGCGCTGGAAAACAACTTAGTTTCTTTAATCTGTCACTGTATCCTTATCAGTTTGACTAATGTGCTAGGGTTCCACGTATATGCCATCCAGTTCTTATATTGTCCTCTTTTCACCCTACCGTGAAACACTTGTTGCTTCTCTCTCTTTATTTTCTTTTGCATGGGAGGCCTTAAACAATCTAACAAAGTTGCAATCCGTTTTGAAGAAATACGCTTATCATCTTACTTTGTTAACTTGTGTTTAATCTAATGTTTAAAGTTCATGATTCCTTTACAATAAGTTCTCAGATGTTACAGATGTTTGTATGGATGAGAGTGCTGTATCAAGTGATCCTGTAATTGCATTTTTGTTGGATGAAGTGGTTGTGAAGGATTGGTGTAAGCGGGCCTCCAGGAATATTATTACAGAACTTCAAGTAATATGTAAGCTAAATCTTGAAGATTTTGATTTCTTGTATCTTAGCTTGGTCTGCATACTGAATACTTATAAGCTTATATGTATACTTTCCATCTCATTTTAGATAACTCTGGTGTAGAGGGAATGAGGTCTAGGATGAGCCTACTACTTAAGTTTTCGGTGCTGCTTGCTGGCATATCCAATGTGCTAGAAGTGTTAGACTCATCATTTAGAAGCTCTCATTCAGCACAGCTTGAGGACCTGCACAATCTTCATGAGGGCATATTGAAGATCAAGCAGGTTCAATATCTTTGGTAGCATTACGGTTATCAATCTCCATAGTTTTCTGCTTTACATTAGGACATAGTTCTTGGCTGTCCTTAAATGAAATATGTGCTGGCCTTCAATTAACTTAAATGTCATTTTAATAGTTAATGTCACTGAATCCTGATATATGGCTTTGTTAATTAGTAGATCTGCTTTCTGATCAGTTGGAGAATACTGAATGGAAACATGCTAACTCAGTAGATATGCTAAGATGTTCTCCAACTTGAGAAAAACAAAGATAGCCTTACCCAAAATTGGTTTCTCTTTTCTTCCTTTGATGAAAAGATATTATCACAACTCTGTATTCAATATTTCCATTCACACGACTGAAAAATATTAAAATTGACATTCCTTAGTGAAGAAGGAAAAAGAACTTTATTACCGGTTAGCATCTGGCAATGATAAATCATCCAGGAGGTTGCATGTGTGATGTTTATCATTTTATCACTCTTCATTTATGTCGACTACGTAGATGGTTTCTATCAAATTTATTATCGTTGGATAAGTAAACATAGGAATTTATAATCTGTAGAAACTAGACTCTCATCCATTGGCATTGAATGATAGTTTTTATTTTCTTTTGCCATAAATTTTCTAGGTTTAGAAAACAGATTATGAAGGTAAAATTAGATTATTCTCTTAGCTTTCTGTTTTTTCCCCACTTTTAAATAGTAAATGTTTGCAATTCAGTTACTGGTAGATCTATATGTCCCATGGAGGGTTACCAAGGAGTTGGGAGATTGGAATTTTAGACCATCCTGCTGTAACTAGTGTCCCTTTTCTCACGATAGTCTTCATGTTAAAATACTTTTTGGTTACAATTTCTTTTACCAGCACATGGAGATTATGATGTGGTGCATAAGGCATCAGTTTTTGGAGAATGTCAGGTCCCGCCATTCTAGCTTCACATCATGGCTTACTGCTGTTCGTGAAAGGAAATCTGCTGCCATCCGGCAATCATGGCCTGATGCTTTAGATGACTCTGCTGATTCCATTGGACTGGATGGATCTCTCTTCATCGAGGATGCACTGGGGAATCTTGATATAGAGCAGTGGTTCTCCCTAGATGTAGTGGATGGTTTAGAAATTGCATCTCTGGAAAATGATGGGGCCCCAGTAATCTTCAGATCTAAGATTGGGGGGAGTTCAGGATGCTACCCATTTGAAAATCTTCGAGTTGCTGTTGACGTCCTCTTTCTTCGTGGAAGTTCTGATGTATTGGTTGCAAAGAAAGCAATTGTATCCTTCTTTAGTGATACATCTGTTTCATTGCCCATATAAATTATATAATTGGCTAGATATATTCCTCTTTTTTTCTCCTTAATCTTGGTAGCTTTTGTATTACTTGTTTGACCGCCATTGGACAATGCCTGACGAGAAATGGAGACATATTATTGAGGATTTTGCAGCCTCTTTTAGTATAACACGGCATTCTTTATTAGAATCCTTTGTCTTTTATCTTCTAGATGATCATACAGATGAAGCTCTGCAGGTAACTTCTGTGCAATCTTTCTCCTGCTTGTCTTCATCTTATAGTTTCAGTTTTGCATTACTTATTCAAATACCTAAGATTTATGGTTATTTGCTGTGTAACTTTTTAATCATGGGATCTATGTTTGATAGGAGAGATAGACGATTCATTTAGAATGTGTCTTACTGTGGTTCTAGTTCAAGACCAATGAATTAGTACTGACCCTAAAATTTCAAGTTATTCTTTGAAAAAAGTAAAATCATGCAAACAATGAAGGAATTTGGGAGAATGGATTCAAGCCATTGGCGATGTGCCAAGGATTTTGTATCTTTTGAGTCATTTGGTTACTAAATGAATGATAGGGTTGGGCGTTGTATTGTAATAATAGTGGTTGTGCAAATGGTTGAATTGATGAATTCACTTCGATGTCTTCGACAGAACCCCATGGTAAGGCGAGTCATTAGTTTAACAAACTGTCCTACATGTGGGGATCTAGTTAACCCAACATGTATACTCTAATATTGAAGTGAAGGATGAAATAGTATCACCCTCATTGATGTGCACTAGAGCGAGACAAGTCCTTTAAATTTCTGCCAATAGTTTAATCTAGTTACTCTAGAGTTTTTCTAGTTTCAAATTTACAGACTGCCTATTTCTTGCCGTTTTTGTAATGTATGACTGTCTTCTTCACATGCTAACTTCTTACTTTTCCCTGAATATGATATTATATAGGAAGCCTGCCGTCTTCTTCCTCACATTTCAGGCCCAGCGACACATCCTAAGATTGCTCAAGTTTTGTTAGAACGGAAAAATCCTGATACAGCTCTTATGGTTTTGAGGTGGTCAGGACATGACAGTATGTCAGTCCCAGTTTCACTTGTGGAAGCTGTAACTGGTGTCCGGGTGAGAGTGGAATGTGCACTCCTGACCGAAGCATTTATGTACCAGAAAATGGTCTGCAATAGGGTAAGAGAGAGGAAAAAGTATGAAGAACATGAAGATGCATTTGGTAATGCTCAAAGCAAAGTTAAAAGCTGGGAGGATTGGATGAAAATATTGGTGACTGAAATTTGTTTTCTTTGTATCCGTCGAAACTTTGTGGATAGAATGATTGAGTTACCATGGAGTTCTAATGAGGAAAAGCATCTCCACAAGTGCTTGCTGGAGTGGTCCACTGCACATCCATCATCCACTATTGGAAGTCTCCTATTCGTGTACTATCTTCAGGTAATCTCTATATTTGCCCGTTATGACTTTTTAAGAAACCATCCCATTGGAATTAATCACTTAAGGAATACAAGGAACCAGATAAGCTATCAAGAAGAATAACGAAAGCAAACCGAACTATTGCTTCTTTCTAAGTTCTTTCCCTACATTGTATGTTCAGCAGTTCCTTTCCAACTAATGGACTGAAGAGATTGCTTTGTTTGCTCCGAAGAAGTTTGTCTCTTCTTAATGGTTTAGCTTACAGATATGTTTTATTTGTTAACTTTTTGTCGTAGTTAAGTCACTGTCATTTCTAGGCATCTTTTGGTCTGCGATTTAAAGCATGCATACTAAATTATCATCTTGAGATCTATTTTGCACACGGAGATGGCATATCATGAGGACTTTCTGTATATTCTTTCAGAGGTTTCGATATCTTGAGGCCTACCAAGTAAACCTCTTGCTTCAGAAAGCAGAACAAGGCTATCTTTCTGAAAATTCTGTTCATGAAGATGTTTTATCCAGGATGAAATTGACTAGTCACTGGCGAGCAGGATTGGTTGTAAGTTTCCCGAACCATGTTTATTTTATTGGGTGGTTGTTTGCCATGGGGTGAAGGCATGTTCTTTAGAAAACAATTTTCAGTGTAATCTAAACGCCAGAAGTTTCCGGTTGAATGGGTTCTGAATTGTTGTTGGCTTGTTGTGGTTTAACATATTCAACCACAAAGGTTGAAGTATTTTATTGAAATCATTTGGCACTAAATCTAAATGTGAGTTTTAACCTCACGATCTAAACAATACTATATTTAATTGCAAAATCAATACAGGTGGATTTTTCTGGTCCTTCATAAATGTTTTTATAGTACTTTCTGGGTTCGCAACTCATGCTTGGCCTTGTTATTTCATTATTATTATTTTTATAAGTTTTTGATATTTAATTTTATTGCCTCAAATGAACAGGATAAATTCATGGAGTTGCTACCAGAAGTCCAACAGCTGGAAATAAAATCTGGGAAGTTGCCCACGGTCGATGTTAATTCCGAAGTGGAATCGTTATCAGATGCTGATCCATCTGGGGTCCAGGAGCAGCAGTTAAGTGGTATATTGATCCCCTCAACTAATATGTCTACTGTATCACAACAGAGAAACGACAGTCAATTTATCCTCAAACCCCCAGTTTTCGAAACTCCAGGAAGGCTAGGTGGGACATTGAATCATAACATCGCAAAGTTTGGCTCGCCATCGGTTCACAAAAGGCTATTTAGTAGTAAGGAAAGAGTACCAAAGATAGGAAATAGCCTACACAAGAGTGTAGATTTTCAGGACATGTTTAGTTCCGGATTCCATCAAGCAAGTGCTATGAATATTTCCCCCTCAGAAGAAGCCACGAGAAGTTCAAGGCTCCTTCCAAATAGTCATGAGAAACTCTCACTGGATAAAGAGCAAAATGGAATTACTAACCAAGTTCGGAATACCTCTCCATATTCCCGTAGGATAACTGCTAACCCTACATATAATACACCCAACCGCAAGTTCGGTTTATTAGATGTTCCTTCAAGGGGAGTGCAGGAAAATGGATCTACTAAAGATAATGGAACTTGGAACATCTCTTCTTTAGATGATCCAATGGACATTTCGAGGTAAGAAACACCTATTTCGTCCTACCATTGCATTTCTTTTTTCAGTTTTCTTATTATTTATGTTTATACTGTCTGTTCCAAAAAATTCAGTCATGGAGGAGGACGAGATTCTGCAGCTGATATTCAATATTCGAATGGTGCTCCAAGATGGAGGTCTGATGAAGCAAGCGACGAGGAGGAAGCAAGTCCTGATAGAGTTCCAAGCAGAGTAGGTCACAGAGCTACCCTAAGCGGTAGTAGTAGAAGAACAAGGTTAACCAAGAGATAATGACCGTCGTGTTCATCGAACAACTCAAGATAATGCATTTTATGCAATGTGGCTAGCTTGGAATCGGTTCAAAGACCATGAGAGTTGCAAACCTTACCACCTCCAAATACTCTTGGCTAGGGTAGGAGGACGCAGTGGCTTGAATTTGCTGCTTCCATGAGACATCGAATAATCATTTACAGCCAAAAGCTTCACGTTGCGAAGCTCGGAAAGGAACGAGGAACTCATTTGAGGTTTGCTGTTTGCTTCCCTTCACTCTCTATTTTTCATGTGAATTTTTGTATTTTAAATGTCAATATCAATTGCTTGATAATTTTGATGAAATGAGTGTGTTTGATCAGGCCAGCAACGGGTGAGATTGGTTGAAAATATTTATTGTAATGCCTCTTTTTTCCATTGCGAATATTGATAGAGAACTAATTTATGTGAGGTAAGAGTAGGACTCCCTCAATTTTGATATCTATGTTTTAGTGCAAATTTTGAAAATAATATTTTTTTTTATGTATTTATTATATCTAAATTTTAATTTTTTAATTTTTAATATAGAATTTTCTCTTAAAAAGTTTAATACATAAAATATTTAATGTTATAAATTATATGATATTGCAAACTAATAATTATACAAAATAGGTTTATTATGAATGAATTGATAATAGTTTATTTTCAACTTGCGTAATTTTTTACATTACTTAAAACTTTCTTATCTAAATTTTTAATTTTAATTTTTAGAATAATAAATAATTTAATGTCTAGGAATAAATGATTTTAAAAAATTAGAAAAAATTCAAAATAGTTTTAAAATATTTAATTAACATTTTTCCTCTTCCAAGGTGCTTATAATTATAGAAAGGTAATTTATAGAATTTTTTTTTTTAAATTCATTTCAAACTCATAAATTGGATCGATAATTCTTTTTTTTTTTGTAAGTTTTTAGCCCAAAAATTGGTCCCAGCCAATAATCCAGGCCCACTATGGATCCATTGTGAGCCCAACTAATATCCAAAGGCCCATTCCTTAAGGTTCACACTAATGGAGAAACGCGACACTGCAATCTCCTTTGTTTTTCCCCGTTTTCAATATCTCACCTCAGTTGCAGAGAAGCTCTGAACAGAGAGAAAAGCCATGAAGATTTTCGGTTCGAGCAGATCTCCGATCAATGGATGGAACTCGAAGAAATCCAATTTTCTGCACCGACGTTTTTCTTTGCCTGTTCTCGCTCTACTCTTCTGTTCCTTCTTTCTCCTCTACCTGTTCTCCTCCTACTCTTCCTTCATGCCCTCGACTGCATTCTCAACTTCAAATTCGTGCCAATGCAGTTCCCGGATCTTAGATTTGGGGGAGAGATTTCTGTTTTACGCGCCTCACAGCGGATTTAGCAACCAGCTTTCTGAGTTTAAGAATGCAATTCTCATGGCCGGGATTCTCAACCGGACTCTTGTTGTTCCTCCGATTCTGGATCACCATGCCGTAGCTCTCGGGAGTTGTCCGAAATTCAGAGTTACGGATCCTGGTGAGATTCGATTTTCGGTTTGGGAGCATATGCTTGAACTTCTTCGGAATGGAAGGTAATCATTTTCCCCTTGGTTTGTAATTTTTTTTTTTTTTTTTTCAGATGTCTTGATTTTTATCTGGATTGATGAGTGTTCCGTTTGTTGGGTTGCTAGATTGATATGGAAGTTTGTTCTAAATCAAATACTTGTACCGTTTTGATGAACTGGTAGCAATCCTAGCTATATAGCTTTAGTTTACTTTTCCATTCTTTTCTTTTGTGACTCTGATTTCACAAGAAGATGAAAGAAAATAAGGCTAAATTACATATTAAAAAAAAAAAAAAAAAACCTCTAACTTTTTTATTTGTTATAAAAATGACCCGTTCTTTCAAAAGTTGCAATATTATCATTTACATTTCATAAAGGTTGAAACTACCTTGGTAGAAATTTGCTAGAATGTTAAATGAAAATTGAGACTCGGTAGGAGTTTGAGGATTTCTTGGATCCCAAATTGGGACCACAACACAACACCGTTCCAAATCCCAATTGTTATGCAACGTTCAAACGAGTTTCTACTCCAAGAACAGGTTTGAAACTTCTATGAATGGTCAAGAGTAATATTGCAATTTTTGAAAGATCAGGAACATTATTGAAACAAAAAGGCAAAGTTTGGGAGTTCTTTTTTTTTTTCTTTTTCGTAATTTAGCAAAATGTCGTGGTAATATTTTATGACATAATCTATGAATTTCGATTCTGTGGCAGGTATGTTTCAATGGCGGATATTGTAGATATTTCATCGTTAGCTTCTTACTCTTCTATTAAGGCCATAGATTTTAGGACCTTTGCATACTTATGGTGTGGAGTGGATCTGGAAAGTGTTTGTTCCAATGAATACAACCTAAAGCAATGTGGTCGTCTACTAGCAGGGCTTGATGGAAATGTAGACAAATGTTTACATGCTGTAGATGAAGATTGCAGAACTACAGTTTGGACTTACAAAAATCGTGAAGTTGATGGAGTATTAGACGTTTTTCAGCCTAGCGAACAGCTTAAGAAGAAAAAGAATGTGTCATATGTCAGACGTCGTCGAGATGTATATAGATCCCTTGGACCTGATTCCAAAGCCGAACTCGCTGCTGTTTTGTCGTTTGGAAGTCTTTTTACTGCTCCATACAAAGGTTCAGAACTGTATATTGATATCCATGAAGTTAGTGGAGATCAAAGAATTAGTTCTTTGATAAAAAGCATTGAGTATCTACCATTTGTCCCAGAAATCTTGAGCGCAGGGAAAGAGTATATTGACAAGATCATAAAAGCTCCATTCCTTTGTGCTCAACTGAGATTGTTAGATGGGCAGTTCAAAAATCACTGGAACGCTACTTTTATGGCCCTCGAACAGAAACTAGACTCTATATTGCAGGATGGTAACAAACCCGTTCATGTTTTCGTGATGACCGATCTTCCTGAATCGAATTGGACTGGAAGCTACTTAAGGCATCTGGCTATGGATTCAAATCACTTCAAACTCTTTTTACTCAAAGAACACGATGAATTGGTTCAACGAGCATCGAAAAAAGTGATGGCTGTAGGACATGGCTTGAGATCGACATCCAGTGCATTTGGTCCTAGCAGAATTCATGATATGAAGGACAAATGTACTTCTGAGAGATTACCCGATATTCTCTTATACATAGAGGAAACTGTTTGCAGTTGTGCTTCACTTGGTTTTGTTGGCACTGCTGGCTCCACAATTGCAGAAAGCATTGAGCTGATGAGAAAATATGGATTATGTTCAGATCAAAATTCAACCCCATCTTGACATTTGACTTCAAACTTTAAATTCTTTAGGACGTCCACTGAAGTTGTTCTGTGTCGACTTAGTTTCTCTGAATCATTCGACGTAGTCAATGCTGATGTACTTGGATTGAACGTATGCAAACCATTTGATTCTGCTTGGCTTGTCATGCATTGAAGACTACTCGAATCATGCTTCGAATTTACCAGCATCTGATTATGGTGGATTTCACCAACATTGATCATCACATCAGTTTTCAAGGTTGCATTTGGATGTAAGTATACATACACTATCATATTCACCATGTAGAGGAAATCATATTGTACTGTCTGTTTTGTACAAACTGGATAGTTTAGGAAGTCATATAGTTCCTTAAGGAAATACCGCTGTTGTTTTCTTAGAAAGATTGGATCTCTGTACGGCCTTTTGTCGGACTTTCGTCCCTTTGCCTCCTTCCTGACTTTTCAGAGAGAGGCCCTTTATAGACTATAAAGAACATTATTCTGAGTGGTAAGGAGGCAAGCAGATGAAGGGAGGCATTACGGGCCAACTACAAGAAGCAAAGTTTCGTAGACTCGACAAATCGCTTATAGAATGCCGACTACTAAGTTAAGTTTAGATCATGGTGGAATTCATGGTGGACATTCTTCTCCTCAGCCCTCCATGTGTGCTGTACCATTGTATTTAGAACTGTTTTGTTTCTATTTAAAGTTGTTTTCACTTGGGGCTTAACTCCAGAAATGTTGGGCTTCAACTTCATATGAACTAACGTACAGTCCCTTTTTCCTTCTTCCAGATATTAGTCATCTTCCTTGATTGAGATGCATGGAACTGGCAATTAAGGATATAGACAAGGAAAAATGGTCGGTTTGATCTGAACCGAGCGGGTTTGGTTTGTTCGTGTCCCTTGGCAGCTTGAGCCTAGCATAATGTCATTTTCTCCTTCCCTATTGTCTGCACAAGCTTTGTGCTCAGATTTGGTAAGGATATACAAAATTAATGTTTATTTTGTGGACCTAAACTTTTGAAAACTTTGGTAATTAATATCTAAGAATATAAATACCTCAGAATTACCGGATTTATTTTAAAATAAATACATTAATTTTTTAAAATGCTAAACAAATCTAAACACAAATAAATATAAATTTTTGGAAAGCAAGTTAAAAGAAAAAATAAAAAAAATCAAATATAATTTTGGTCAAGTACATGTATTTTCAACTATTCAAATTTTGTATATTTTTTTTCTGAAATCTCTATTATAACCTTTTTTTTTTTTTTTTTTTTTTTTTTTTTTTTTTTTTTTTTTTGTTACTTCTAATAAATTTTAAGTTTAGTCAAAATTGGTTAAATAATAATAATTTTCATGTTGAACAGTACACCGTATAAATATATTTTAAAGTTTATAAATGGAGTTCAAATGCAAGCTAATTTTTTATTAAATGAAAACTATATAACATTTAATTTAAAATGTTTAAAAGTATATATCATTTAAAAGTTTCAAACCTTTTCTGTTACCAAAAAAAGAAATAAAAAAACAAATATCATTTTAATTACTATCTTAAAATAAATCTCTATCGATAATTTATGTTTAATTTCCAAAAATACATTTACAACATTTTTTTTTCTTGCATGATAATACTAATAATTATTTAACCAATTTTGTTAACAAACAAAACTTCAAATTACTTATTTTAGATTTATTAAAAAAATACAAAAAATAAAATAATATTTGGATATTTAAAAGGATAAAGACCCAAATAATATTTTAACATAAAATTTAAATGGTCTAAAAATCATTAATTTTTTAACCCTTAGAGAATAAAAAATTGAAAAAAAAAAAGAATATTCGGTATAAAATCCATGAAAAGTCAAACTTTTGAACATTCAATTTAGATTAAAATAATCTCAATTGGACTGTTATAAAAATTGAACTGTATTGTAATAATACTGTCGCAAAGAATGAAAAGTTATGAATAATCACAATCAATCTTAATTATTGACTTACTTAAAAGGTATAAATTATCGTAATCAAATTCGAATTATTGACTTATGGAATTGGAACAAACTTACGGTTCCAATCCAATGAACATAGAACGAATATTTAATTTGGAAAAACAAAAATCTCAAACCCACTTTAGAAATCTGTGGATGAGAAATATTAACTCCAGGATACTTGCCAAAAAAAAGTGAGGAGTCTATGGCCAAGGACTATGGTCATATGAACACGAGCTTAAATGCGAACAGTAATCGAAATTATCGAAGAAGTGAATTTGGACAAGGAAAAGCTGCCTTAAATACCCACGAGCTCCATTACATTTCGGCATGATTTGCCGCTCGTTTTCGATATCTGAAAGCATTTTGCGAAGATTTTTCCATTTGGGGTTTTTAATTTTGGTGGTTGAAGGTCTTTTTTGAATTATTTTTGAGGAACAAATGGAGGGCGTTGATCATCTTGCGCATGAGAGGAACAGAGCGCAATTTGATGTCGATGAGATGAAGATCGTTTGGGCGGGTTCTCGTCATGCATATGAAGTGTCTGATAGAATGTCTCGCCTGGTTGCTAATGATCCAGTGAGTAATTTGTGTTCTACAGTCCAAATTTTCCTGTTATTGTATCAATTTTTGTTATTCTTTTGATGGATTCTTTGGGTTTAAGGCGTTTCGAAAGGACAATAGGGCTCAATTGACAAGGAAGGAGCTGTTTAAGAACACTCTTAGAAAAGCAACTTATGCATGGAAGAGGATTCTTGAGCTTAAACTTTCTGGTATGGCTGCTTGATTCAATCTCTTTCTGTGGATTGTGCTGTGTTCCTTATGTTCTTTAACGCAGTTACCTTGTGTTGTTGTTTCTTGGCAGAGGAGGAAGCTGGTAGATTAAGGTTCTTTGTGGATGAGCCAGCATTTACAGATCTTCACTGGGTGAGTTGAGTTTATTCTCTTTGTTGGCATATCAACTACACTTATAGGCCAAGTTTTTGGTTCTATGCATACATATTGTGTAACCGCTCAAGTCCACTGCTAGCATATATTATCCCATTTGGGCGTTTCGTTTTAGGCTTCCCTTCAAAGTTTTTAAAACGCGTATGCTAAGGAGATGTTTCCATCTTCTTATAAAGAATGTTTCGTTCCCCTCTCCAACCGATGTGGGATCTCACAACTCACCCCCTTTGCGACCCAGCATCCTCGTTGGCACTCGTTTCCCTCTCCAATCGATGCGGGGTCTCACAATCCACCCACTTTCGGGGCTCAGTGTCCTCGCTGGTACTCGTTCCTCTCTCAAATTGATGTGTGGGATCTCATAATCCATCCCCCTTTAGGATCCAGCGTCCTCGCTAGCACACTGAACGGTGTCCACCTCCTTTGGGGTTTGGCGTTCTCGCTGGCAAACCGCCCGGTGTCTACCCCTTTTGGGCATAGCGTCCTTGTTGGCACTCGTCACACCATCTGGTGTTTGACTCTGATACCATTTATAACAGCTCAAGTCCACCGCTAGAAAATATTGTCCTATTTGGGCTTTCTCTTTTGGGCTTCCCCCCAAAGTTTTTAAAAACGCCTCTAATAGGGAGAGGTTTCCACACCCTTATAAAGAATGTTTTGTTTCCCTCTCAAACTGATGTGGGATCTCACAACTCACCCCCCTTCGAGGTCCTACGTCCTCGTTGGCACTCGTTTCCCTCTCCAATCAATGCCTAATCTCACATATTAGTTTCCATCCTCTGTCCTTCTAAGCTTTTGGAATTAGCTTAATGTTCTCTCTTTCACTCTAATTTAGGGAATGTTCGTTCCATTTCTCAAAGGGCAAGGAACTGAGGAGCAGCTACAAAAGTGGCTGCCATTGGCAAATAGGTTGCAAATAATTGGCTGCTATGCTCAAACTGAACTTGGTCATGGTTCAAATGTTCAAGGGCTTGAAACAACTGCAACATTTGATCCAAAGACAGATGAATTTGTTATACATAGTCCTACGCTTACATCGAGCAAAGTAAGTTAAGTGATAATTATATATTCAGGCAGGGGACGTTTGGATGTGAATTGCTGCACTATGTCTTATTTTTGGTTCTTCTTGCTTATGAACAGTGGTGGCCTGGTGGTTTGGGTAAGGTTTCAACACATGCAATTGTATTTTCTCGTCTTATCACCGACGGTCAGGACTATGGAGTGCATGGTATGCAAACTATGATTGGTTTGGATCCGCTAGTTCTTGATCATGATTTATTAAGTGTAATTGGAAAGCATCCATTTGGTAGGTTTCTTGGTCCAGATAAGGAGTTTGAATGATCACTCAGTTCTACCAGGCATAACCATTGGAGATATTGGTATGAAATTTGGAAATGGAGCTTACAATACTATGGATAACGGGGTCATGCACTTTGATCATTTCCGCATACCGAGAGACCAACTCTTGACGAGGTTATTCCTTTCTTTCTTTTCGGGTTTTATTTGTTGTTTCTATTCATTTTCTTTGTCAATTGTCCATTTGTGAGATCCCATATCGGTTGGAGTGGAGAACAAAACATTCCTTATAAGGGTGTGGAAACCTTTTCCTAGTAGACGTGTTTTTAAACCATGAGGCTGACGACGCTATGTAACAGGGCAAAGCGAACAATATCTACTAATGGTGCGCTTGTGCTGTTATAAATGGTACCAGGGCCAGACACCAGGCGGTGTGCCAACGAGGACGTTGGGCCCCCAAGAGGGGTGGATTGTAAGATCCCACGTCGGTTGGAGAGGGGAACAAAGCATTCCTTAAAAAGGTGTTGAAACCTCTCTCTAGTAGACGCGTTTTAGAATTAAGAGACTGACAGCGATATGTAACGGGCCAAAACGGACAATGAACTTGGACTATTATAAATGGTGTTAGAGTACACTGGACGGTGTGCCAGCGAGGACGTTGGGCCCCCAAGGGGGGTGGATTGTGAGAACCCACCTCGGTTAGAGAGGGAATGCAACATTCCTTATAAGGGTGTAGAAACCTCTCCCTAGTAGACGCATTTTAAAACCGTGAGGTTGACGGCAATACGTAATGCCAAAGCAGACAATATCTGCTAGCGGTGGGCTTGGGATGTGATACCGTTACTATTTCCCTAGTTAGATACGTACCAACTTCAACATTCTTTAGGTTTGTCATTGTTATATGAGTTAATCATGCCTATCAATTGGAAATGAGGATGGAGAGCATTTTCCTTGTTCTGCTCTCATTGTTTGATCTTTGTTTCTGAGGTTGAGCCTTAGAGAAATTCATTTCTATTTTTCCATCTTACAAATAAAAAACAAAACCAAGAAAATATGCTCGTATGTATCATACATTCAGTTCAACAAGCCTTCTAACGTTAGTTATAAACGTTGCAGGATTTCTCAAGTTACAAGAGAAGGGAAATACGTGCAATCAGATGCTCCGCGACAACTAGTTTACGGCACTATGGTATTCGTTAGAAAAGCAATTGTAATTGATGCTTCAAGTGCCTTATCACGTGCAGTCTGCATTGCTACTAGGTACAGCGCCGTTCGTAGACAATTCGGATCACAGGATGGCGTGGAAACCCAGGTATGAACATTTAATGCTAGCTCAAGCTGTTCGTACCTGCTATAGTAACAGCAGACCACATTTTAACCATGATTCTGATGCATAGATCTTATCATTTTACTCGTGGGTTACATGATTGATACCGATGGAATTGTTGCCAGTTTCTTGCATTTAACTGACCCGTTGCATTTATTTACCCGATACGAGTTTATGACTACAAGTCTAACATAGATTCAAATTGGCAAGTATATGAACATTGTCCCAAGTACATTTTGCCCTTTTAGATTGTCGACAAATAATGTCGTTCTCATTTGTTCGTTTCTTTAGGTGATCAATTATAAAACGCAACAGAGTAGGCTATTCCCTTTGCTGGCTTCTGCCTATGCTTTCAGATTTGTTGGTGAATGGTTACAATGGCTATATACGGATGTGACTCAGAGACTGGCAGCTAGCGATTTCTCGACGCTGCCTGAGGCTCATGCATGCACTGCCGGGTT